CTGTAGTTATAACATTTACAGCACTCATACTGTAACGTGTTTACAGTGATGACATGCTGCACTGTAGTGATGCTAAACTCTGTTTCTGGAGTCGACTGCGACTCTCGACTGGAGTCAATGGAGTCCACTTAATTTAAACGAGACGGCGCCAGAGCTGATGATGAAGAGATAAAGACTAATGTTAACACCTCTCGCCATCGGCCTGTTTCACGTATTGAGGGGCGACGAGAAACTCGGAATGATGTACTGGGAAAATCTTTATTGCAGTCGTAATTCTCATAGTTCTTGTTGTCATAATTCTTTGAATTTTCTAATTCCTTTGCAATGCGGCTGAAGTCGGCTTTGCGTTCCCCAGCGTCTTATTCAAGTTACCTTAATGATGAGCCAGTGCCAGAGTGCAACTGCAGCACCGTTTAAGGTGGAACTTAAAATGTGCCGAAGACAGATGTGCTGTAATGTCAGATAAGGGGACAGATGTGCTGTAATGTCAGATAAGGAGACAGATGTGCTGTAATGTTCGATAAGTAGACAGATGTGCTGTAATGTCAGATAAGGGGACAGATGTGCTGTAATGTTCGATAAGGGGACAGATGTGCTGTAACGTTGTGTCAGATAAGTAGACAGATGTGCTGTAATGTCAGATAAGGGGACAGATGTGCTGTAATGTCAGATAAGGGGACAGATGTGCTGTAATGTTCGATAAGGGGACAGATGTGCTGTAACGTTGTGTCAGATAAGTAGACAGATGTGCTGTAATGTCAGATAAGGGGACAGATGTGCTGTAATGTTCGATAAGGGGACAGATGTGCTGTAACGTTGTGTCAGATAAGTAGACAGATGTGCTGTAATGTCAGATAAGGGGACAGATGTGCTGTAATGTTGTGTCAGATAAGAAAACAGATGTGTTGTAATGTCCGATAAGAAGACAGATGTGCTGTAACGTGTCAGATAAGTAGACAGATGTGCTGTAATGTTAGATAAGAAAACAGATGTGCTGTAATGTCAAATAAGAAGACAGATGTGCTGTAACGTTGTGTCAGATGAGACAGATGTGTTGTAACGTTACGTCAGATAAGGAGACAGATGTGCTGTAACGCTGTGTCAGATGAGACAGATGTGCTGTAATGTTATGTCAGATGAGGAAACAGATGTGCTGTAATGTGTCAATTAAGGAGACAGATGTGCTGTTTTGTCAGATGAGGAGACAGATGTGCTGTTGAATCAGATAAAGAGACAGATGTGCTGTAACGCTGTGTCAGATAAGGAGACAGATGTGCTGTAACGCTGTGTCAGATAAGGAGACAGATGTGCTGTAATGTTACGTCAGATAAGGAGACAGATGTGCTGTAACGCTGTGTCAGATAAGGAGACAGATGTGCTGTAACGCTGTGTCAGATAAGGAGACAGATGTGCTGTAACATTATGCTTGTAACTTCTAAGCCGTGTTTGACTGCCTGGCTGCACGCCAACTTGGGTCGGCACCACTGGCGCTTCACAATGTCATACGTCGTTATAATCTCGCGAGAGTGAGACAGCTGCGGTTTTCAGAGCCAGGTGCCACAGCTGCTCATCAGCTGCACAGGCTGAGAGACAGAGCTTAATCCTCATAGGCTAGAAGCTCCGCCAGCAGCCATGTAGACGCAAACTGTAATAAACGCAGCTCATACACTCAGAAATAAAGGTCCTAAACTGTCTCTGGGTCAGTTCCCCTCCTGTCACTGGGGTGGTTCCCTCAAGGCTCCATCTCAGTACCTTTAGTCAGGGAACATAACTGAACCATAATCCACTGAAATGATATGTTCTAAGCTGTACTGACTCCACACACCCCGTCTCGTCTCCAGGCTTTTATTTTACTGTTCTGTTTAAAACATTCGGTTATGAAAAGGTACAAATACGAACTTTTCACCTGGAAACACTTATTTAAGGTTCACAATCAGACCTTAAAACCACTGTTGGAGCTTTGAGGGAACATTTACACTGTTTGTACCTTGATGGATGAAAAATGTACCTGGGCAGGATCTTTATTTCTAACAGTGTAGCCTATTAAAATGTGCAATTAATAATTACATAATAATTGTGATTGGCCCAATTACAATTTGTGTCACTCTTTAAGTCTTGCAGAAGTTGCAGGCAGTTAAAGGCCCAATCCCATTTCACCCCTCGCCCCTACCACTCAGCCCTACCCCTCTGTTTTGTGTGTTCTCGTCTAGGGGTAGGGTGTCCTGATTCTTGTTGGATGGGGGGGGTGAAGTGTTGGGACTACATGACCCTTTTTCAGAGACCCCAAACAGAGTGATATGAGAAAAAAAGAAAAACCAGCAAGATGGAGAACAAGAGACCAAAGAAACCCACAAATGTGAGAATTTTCTCTATTAAAAATTACAATAACCACTGTATTGTCTTAGTTTGATGTTGTTTCAGTGTATTTTGGTCCTTTTCTTTATATCAAGCATAAAAAATCCCTAGTATTGCTGACGTCTCAGTAGCTAAATTTCCCGTTCCACCTTAAATGGAGCAGCAGTTACATTCTGGCTCTTCAGGCATCAGAACTGCATTTAAGGTGGAACGGGAAAATTCGAATGAGAATCTGGAGAATATCTGACTTCAGCTTCATATCACTGAAGAATTAGGGGTGGGTGATAATAAATAATTGCCCCCCTCTTTGAAGGCATATGATGTCCTAAATGTAACTAAAGCCCAGCAGTGAGGAGCTGAACTTTACCCTCCTCTGCTGTCACTGCAGACTGGCAGGGTCTCCTACAGAGCAGCGCTGGTAGCTGTTAATGAAGTGATGCTCTTTTTATTTGAGGGTCCCATTTCAGAGGGAAGATCTCAGCCACTACCCTGTAACTCAGTTCCAAGGGGCAACACTCGAAAACAAGGGGTAAAAATAAGAAATGGGACTGGGGCTAAATCTCATTAGATCTGATAAAAATCAGTTTTGTGGCAGTGATACAATCTCAGAAGGTCAGTTTAAGCCCCGTCCACTGATCGTCCATTTAAATTCATCAGTGTCTGCAGGCTCACCTGCACACAGCCCAGGAACAATCGCTGCTTGTCTCTTCATGCTCAGAGAACCTTTCAGTGGCTGGAACAATTGGAGGAGTTCAATGGACTCGAGGAGCAACTGCTCGTCCACTGTGGCAGAAGCACTTACAGTGTCTGTCCCCGCCCAGTGTCAAAGCTCAGCTCTGCGTAATGAGCTTTAACTTCTTTTCACACTTTAACGAGAGGAGGCGGGGAGTTCGCCCGGCTGAGCGTGACGGACATGGCCTGGCTACTTCAGCAGTGGCAACCTTCTCATTAGCAACAGAGGCTTAGTGTCCAGCCAAACTATTCTGCCTGACTGGCCGATAAGAATCCTGCCACCTGTTACACTTTTATCCTCTGTCACTGCCAAGCAGATTTTTTCTAACTTTCTTGACCCTCGTAAAGTGTGTTTTTACTGTTACGCTATAAATAAGAGGAGTTCGGAACGGCCAGGAAAGCTTTGCTGGTGTGAGAGACTCTTCTGAGGACTCATTAAGGGGATAGATGAGATGTGAGGTTGTTTACTTTCCTGCTTGTGTCACAACATGTGTGGGTAATGATGCGCGACTTGGAAATGCTTATTCTTGCTCTTAATGTTCACCGTCTATAGAATATTAGGCTTTGATTCCTTTTCTCTGATTCATAAATGTCAAAATCTGATCAGTGCAAGTGTTACCTCTTTATTTTTATTTGTGTCTTAACAAGCTTTGCCTTGTTTGACCTCTTGCCGTAGTGGCCTATATGTGTGTTTGGGGTGGAACGATTAATCGTTTCTATGTCAAAATCACAATTTTCAAAGACCTGCAGTTTAAATTATATCTTATATTTTTTAATCTTTGTGAACGGGTAGTCTGGCACACTACTTTCAGCATTCGAGCATGAAAAAATGAATGTGCAGGTCTTCTTGGTAGAAAAACATGCCCAGAGCTTAACCCTCTGGGGTCGACAAACACACCAGTGCATCAAATTAGACCTTTCTTTGTGTTTCTATTAATATCTTTGTGATGATCCAGCTCAGAAATCCAGTTCAAACACTTCCTGAATCTGTAGAGTCGCCCTTTCCATTCCATCTTATCTCGAGATCATACGAGACTCACATCCGGAGTTATGAGCCTATGAAGAGGGGCTGAGATACACGTCATCTGCCTCTCACCGTGTGGAACTGGTGGATTCGTGTGTCCGTCTGCATTCTGTGTGAAACTGACCAACGGACACTCAGGAAATCACTAAGGACTGACCATCACGCCGGAAACCCTTCATTCTTCATTCAGTCCACATCGGAGACTCATGAAATGGCGTACAGAGAGTTTACAGCTGCTGAAGCTGCTGCAGCAGTTTTGGAAAGTAGCGATGAGGAGAACATTTATCTACTATTTTATTCATACATTCCGCTACTTTTTTGAACATAGAAACCCATTTTAAGCACCAAAACAGTACATCCACATGAGTAAAGCTGCGTTTTCACAAGCGACATTAGGAATTTCTAAAACCAGATTTCAGTTTTTCAGCTTTAGAGCTGAATTATCTCTGTACACAGAGCTCCAGGTCAAAAGGTCCTCATTATAGAGAGAGAGCTGAGACTGTTCTGGAGATTTTAACACGTAACATGTGGGTATAATGTTGTATGCAAGCAAGTTTAAAGCGAGTTTAAGAATATATGCAAAAATCAAGAAAATGCCCTCAGACCTTAGAGGGAAAAGTTAAAAAGTTAAAAAAATAATCACATTTTGTAATCGCGATAATCGCAATAAGATATTTTGCCCTAGTATCTACTCTATGATCACCTATGTGGGCTGCCTTTGTGGGTAACTTATGTTCATTATATATTACAGTTTTAATGGATAGCTTTTTTATGGATAGAATGCATTTAAATTGCAATATTGGTCAAAACAATTGCAATCATATGTTTCGCTGAATTGTTCAGGCCTGTGTTTGTTTGCCTGTAACGGAACCTTCTTTTACCCCCACAGAACCATCCCTGGGTTTCGCTGACGTCACCGTCGCTTGCCCATGTCTGAAGATGGACACACTGGAGTCGGAGCTGACCTGCCCAATTTGTCTGGAGCTGTTTGAAGACCCTCTGCTGCTGCCCTGCGCCCACAGCCTGTGCTTTAACTGCGCCCAGCGCATCCTGATCACTCACTGCGCCTCATCGCCAGAGCCCTCGCATCCTGCCTCCGCCTTCCAGTGCCCGACCTGCCGCTATGTCATCACCCTCAGCCAGCGCGGCCTAGAGGGGCTCAAACGTAACGTGACCCTGCAGAACATCATCGACCGCTTCCAGAAGGCCTCCCTGAGTGGGCCAAACTCCCCGAGCGAAACCCGCCGCTGCAACCGGGACCGAGAGCGTGAAAGTTTGCCGTTTGGTATAAGCGACGCTCCGACCATGAGCGCGAGCGAGGCTGTCCAGTGCCAGTTCTGCGATCAGGATCCTCCTCAGGATGCTGTCAAAACCTGCATCACCTGCGAGGTGTCCTACTGCGAGGAATGCCTGCGGGCCACGCACCCCAATAAGAAACCCTTCACGGGTCACCGGCTGACCGAGCCGCTGCCGGACTCGCGGCTGCGGGGCCTGGCCTGCCCTGAGCACGCCGAAGAGAAGGTCAACATGTACTGCATGACAGACGAACTGCTGATCTGCTCTCTGTGCAAGCTGGTGGGACGACACCGTGACCACCAGGTGGCTGCCCTTGGAGAGAGATACGAGAAACTTAAGGTAAGAAACCAAACAGGTGAGGCGAGAAAGAGCGAGCGGGACTGCAGTTTGGACAGATATGATAGGAAAGTTCTTAATTAAAAGTCAGAGGCCTTTATTGAATTTCCGGACCTTTTAGTACAAGTTGTTCAATTTTTTTCAGGAGATATTTCTGAGGAGAATAGATAAGACAGTCCACGGTCTCACTTTATTTGGATAGCCCACTATAGTCCCCTGTAGATTATCTCCAGATGTTCAAATTGGTAACAAACTATCTGTTGAAACTCAGTTGATTCTGAGGTGAGGCTTGGGTTTAGGTTTTGAGTTCGGGTCAAGGTTAGCAGCGGTGCTGTGTCTGATCAACTCAGACCAGCACAACACACACTAACACACCACCACCACGTCAGTGTTGCTGCAGTGCTGAGAATGATCCACCACCCAAATAGTACCTGCTCTGTGAGGGTCCATGGGGGTCCTGACCACTGAAGAACAGGGTAAAAGGGGGCTAACAAAGTATCAGAGAAACAGATGGACTACAGTCTGTAACTGTAGAACTACAAAGTGCACCTATATAGTAAGTGGAGCTGATAAAATGGACAATGAGCGCAGAAACAAGGAGGTGGTCAGAATGTTATGCCTGACCGGTGTAGTTGTCTGTTAAATATATCGTTGCTGTCCAAAGAAAAACAGGTATCTCCAAAATAGTAACTTTTCAGGAGAAGGCAAAAACACTCTGACCTATCAGTGTAAGTCAATGTAAAGAGTTTTTTTTTCCCAGGTGATTTTAGAGCATTTCTATTGGTCCATTCATCGTGAAATTTTCACACAGTGTAAAGCTGGTGTGTTGAAATGATTTAGAAAAATCTAAATCATCAAAAATGGAGATACATGGTTTCTTTGGACAGCGACGATGTTTTCGCCTTTTTTCCTGACACTGAAAATGAGTAACTTGTTCTTAATGATCGTTTTATTCACTGATATCTGACTCTGGTCTCTGACTTTTGCACAGTGTTGTTCATAGTCATCTCTGCAAACTTGAGGTCCAGATTTTCTGCCTTCAGGCACTGTTTACTGCACCCTAATCTAGTGTTTCTTTTGGGAACGGTTTTGAGTTTACGCCATTGCCAATGATAACAGTAGATAACAGTATCACAGCACAGATAAAAGAGACTTTTCTTTGCTTTTTCTTTTGGCCTTTAAGTAGAGCTGGGCGATAAAACCATAACGATAATTATCGCAATATAAATTTCCTCGATAGAGCTATAAGAAATGTTCGATAAATGTTTGATATAATAGAGCATTCTCACACTTCCACGTTCTAGTGACAGACGTGGCGTTTTCTACTGTGACACTACTCTGCTGTCGCCATGAGAGGGCGCACTTCCAAGTTTTTCAATATTATTAGAGAGGGAGGGGGCGACGAGTAAAACGGGTCGTCAAATATACTTCGGCAATGTCTCAAACATGGAGTTATACATTCCCTGTTTGAGTGGAGCGACCGGCGATCTGTTCTCCTTACATCCTAACAAGCTTTAGCAGCGTTAAATCACGTCTGCTCCACACAACTACAGCACTGCTACAGCGCCCAGACATATTTTAGTGTTAGTGCATTCACAAACAACAAGAGTGAAAGAAAGAAGTGGTTCATATGAGTTACAGCCCTGATTTAAACGACAGTAAACTGAGGAAGCTGTGAGGCATTGGAGAGCGGGAGAGCGCTATCTTCCCAGGCTAGCTGTTTTTAGCAGCTGGCTAACTTGAAGCAGCGCTCCGTCACTCACACAGCACAGCGAACTGATGTTACTGTAGTTCAAACAAGACAAAAAAGCTCCGCTTTCAGTTTAAACGTACCTAAAAGGAGGACTGGTGTTGATTTATTGCGGTTCACCCCTCAAACTGCTATGATAGAATAGAGAACCCCAGTCGTCGCTAGCTGCTGCCTGAATACTGTGATATACTCTGATATGAATGTGGTGGGAGTGACGGCAGTGAGGCGGTGTGACCCATCACTGACCTACCGAGGCTACTGAGCTAATGTTCGCTGTTCGTACTGAGTTGACGTTGTTGAGAAACTAAACAGTTCAGCTCTGTTGCTGGCCACTTGTTTAGCATTTGTAAGGACATAGTCTAGCACTAGTCACCAGACAGCTAAAATCATTTTCTATTTAAATTATAACGGTTACAAAAATTGCTTTTCCAGCTGGTAAAAACAGCTCACCAGAACCTTTCTCCTGCTGTCCCATGGCAGACAAATGTTCCACTGTTTGGCGAGTGTTTTGTTCTGACCATAAAGGATAGTTTAAAACAGCAACTGACCCCTCAGCAGCAAAAATCAGTCTTCAAACTTGAAAGAAATAATGATTTGAAGTTTATTGCGATATGTATTGATATCAGCTGAGATGAAATGTTTTTATCATGATAAGATTTTTGGCCATATCGCCCAGCCCTACCTTTAAGGTTTTACCTTCATGTCCACATGACAGAAAGAAATCAAGAGCAAATTGTACCGAAGTCATATAGGACGATATAACAGGACTAGAATGTTCTAGCACTAATGTGAGTTAAACATTTTAAACGTTGAGTGGATTAATATTCAGCCAACTCAGCTCAGCTCTCCGTCGAGGTGTCAGAACACCTCGGGGAACCACTGGCACATTGTCATTACTCAGAATTAAAGCTTGGTTGGAATTTTTACTTTCATCTCTTTTCTAGGATCCCAGTTGACTAGAAGGTTCAGACGTATCGCCTGGAATTAAGAATTTGTTTCAGGACTGCGGTCCTCAGATCAGGGGGGTGTAGCAATTACTTCATATTGGCAATAAAAATACAGCTTTCTTCTCCCAGCCTTGGTCTCAGCTGAGCTGTTTTAAAGTGTAAATATGAGTTTATTTATCATTTAGCATTAAATCAAATGCAGTTAAAATCAAAGTAATTGTTAGGTACTGTTGGCAATGGCAGATATGCTGCCGGTGTGCATGAGGTGAAGTGTTTTACAGTGATGAACCTGTAGTCTGTCCTGTGTCCTGATCCTGCGCATGTTCCCTGTTAGACTTTTCACTGAATAACACACCCTCACCTGCTCAGACCTGCCGGATCCCACAGGCACGATGTTCACTTTGTAGGTCACAGCAGGAAAACATGATTCTGCACTTACTGGAAAGAGAGAGTATCAGCAAACTGAGAGCAGGTTTCTAATCCAATTAACATTTCTCTGACCGGAACACTGGCCTAGACCTGTTCTAGACCTCAACACGGATCTAGACCTGAACACTGTGCTAGACCTGAACTAGACCTGAACACAAATCTAGACCTGACCTAGACCTGTTCTAGACCTGAACACTGATTTACACCGGTTCTACACCTGAACACTCATCTCGACCTGAACACTGACCTAGACCTGTTCTAGACCTGAACTCTGATCTCAACCTGAACACTGACCAATATGACTCTAAGTTACTAGACCATGATCCAAACCTCTGTCGATCTCAACCTGAACACTGACCTAAACACTCACCTAGTTTTCAAGGCTGATCTAGACCTGACATAGACCTGAACACTGATGTCGACCTGAGCACTGACCTAGATCTGATCTAGACGTGAAGAGGAAATGAACAGTTATCTAGTATATGTATATATATATATATATATATATATATATATGTGTCTGTATATCCATTCATGCCAGTATATGTGATTATATGGAAACACTGATCTAGACCTGAACACTCAGCTAGAACCTAAGACTGGCTTAGACTTTAAGGCTGACCTAGACCTGAGCAGAATTATGTTTATTCAGGTTCAGTATGACGGCATGTTGATGGTATATGGATGCATGTGTGGCATGGAATAGTACAGAATTTGTATTATAGTATGGGATGGACATATTATGCATGGTATATGGTTGAGCATGACCTGATACACATGCTATGCTATAGTAGCATGCTGCTCTGTGCTGTGGTGAGTGTATGGTGGAGTCAGTGTTGGAACAGTTACTTTGAAGAAGGTAAAGTAACTACTTAAGTTAGAATGTTACTGTATGTGCTGAATTACCCACAAATCTCATTTAAGTCTCATGCACAAAATAATCTTCTCTGCTTCTCATGAATTACTATAAAATAATGAGAACCTTTTTATGGGCAGTATGATCTTGGTTCAGTTTGTTTTACAAAAATGGGATAATCTGATGTATTTGATGTAACAGAGAGAAATTCTGAGAGTTTATACATCACATTAACACATTATTAACCATATTACAGCATATTATAGCAAAATATATTTTACTCCTTATTAAAACCCCAACACTGATGTCAGCGTGTGCTGTTCTGTGGTGAGTGTGTAGAGTTAATGGGGTTCTTTTTCTTTCTGATTCTGCTCAATGCTGTACAGAGAACGGCCTGCTGTTTCAGTGGAGAGAGAGAACAGGAGGCCGAACAACAGGTGACCATGCGCTACTACTCAGTGGCCACTTTATTAGAAACACACACTTTGTGCTTCCTTTCACTGGCCACTTTAATAGAAACACCCACCTTGTGCTTCCTCTAACTGGCCACTTTATTAGAAACACCTCCCTTGTAATGCCACTCACTGGCCACTTTATTAGAAACACCTCCCTTGTAATTCCACTCACTGGCCACTTTATTAGAAGCATTTACCATGTGCTTCTACTCACTGGCCACTTTATGGAAATACTACTTATGTCCACTATATAGGTGTACAGATACAGATTGTGGCCTATCTGCCAAGAACAGCTCAATGTTTGGACACTGACCACTGATGAAAGCCTGCGGGATGGTTAACACAAACTGTGCATCTTCAAATGAGCTACAGTTTCTTTTGTACACCAGCAAAGTGGAGGGGTTTCTGATAAAGTGGCCAGAGACCATGACCCCTGCCCTGTGTGACCACTTTAGCAGTGTACATATACAGCTTCATATGCTATAGTACTCGTACTGTATCATGCATGAATGACCATTTTTGTTGCCGTCTGGGATTAAAAAGCATCATTAATAGTTCCAGCAGTC